GGTACCTGTCTAGAAGCAGGCACAGCAAATATTTGCTGGTAGGAAGTAATTTTCAAGGCTAGACATCAGACACTGTGGTGTCAGGGGCCCTGAAGGCATACAAGTTCTGTATTCCTTCTTCCAGTGCTCTTGTTCTGTTTTTCATATTTCATTCAAAGTCTCCACTGCTTTCGTGTTAATGTTTCTGCTTGTACTTATCCTTCTTAGCCCTTTTTCCTTTGAGCGCACTCTAATGTTTCCTTGCTTACAGATAGTGTTGAAACGTTTCTGTGCTATGTGAAAGCACAAAGCTTTGTCATGTTCCATAGACAAAGCAAAAGTGTCCGCAGGCAGACAAATGAAAAGGAAATGTTAACAGGTCTGAGCACTCGGCAAACTGTGGTCCTGGTGACTGTGCAGTTTACGCCCTCCTAGGGCTGACCCCACATAGCTCGCTCACATTTACTCAGACTTTCTGGTCCTGCCTTATCCTGTGGCATCAATACCGTTAACGTCAGAGCCAGGGAAGTATGAGTCCTCTTATGAGGCAGGTAACATACAATTTGAGGAAAGATGTCCAGTTTCCTGGAAATCCTGTGCAATGAATAAAGGAGCATGATTTGTGTTTGTGTGCATGCATGTGACTGATAAAAGTATGTTAAAAAAGTGGATCTTTAAAGGTCCTAAGTACGCACACTGGAGTACGTTTGACCCTTCCTTGCCACTGATTTATGCTGGTGCAGGATTCTCTGGGTTAGAATGTCCTTGAAATGTGTTTATCCATTTTCCACAACATCTCATGGAGCCTGTGTTGCTGTACAGGGGAGGTTTTTGTGATCAATTAGGGGCTGCATCACAGTTGCAGTAACACTTTTCTTCCTTTGCTTGGGATGCTAACCTAAGTGGGTCATTTGTGTTTGTAAGCATGAAAGGGAAGATTTTAGTGCTTAAAAATGTATTTTATTTATATGAGGATCCATTGTTTTCCAGAGACTTCTCATTTACTTTTATTTCAGGCCACTTTACTGATCTAACCAAATATGGAATGGTCTTTTCCTCTTTGTCCCCAACTCATTCTTCAGTGACTCCCTCTTCCCCTGCACAACACGTACATCTACGGTGGAGTTTTTTTTTTCAGCCTAACCTATTGGCAACTTACTTGTAATTACAATAGGAATTTTAATTCACTGTAAAGAGAACTGATGGATGTATAATTAACTAATGACAGTCTGTGGGACTAAGCATAGCAAAGTGAAAGCCATAAAAGTCCAGAGCAACTGAGGTAAAACTTCATGCCTTCTCTGCAGCACATGGAAAAGTGAGTTCTGCCAGGCTGGTAAAGTTGAGGAGATAGTTTGAGAGCTTCGGGGAGGACAATCATCTTGAAGTGTTGGTAAAGAGCAGAAGAAGGAGCAGAGGGTGAGAACTGGAGGATGACCTGCATCTTTCTCTCCCCATTTTTTCCACTGTGATCTCATAATGAGAATGAACCTCCTATGCAGATCTGATTTCAGAGGCCAGATGCTGTTGGATAGGGCTACCCTTCTCCATAACCCTTAACTCTTCCCCCTGCATGTGTCCATTGGCAGCAGTAGCAGAAGTCCCAACTCTGCTGTGCAGACACAGAGACAGTGGGTCGGGTTGCCCTGGGAAAAGGAGAAGGCCAAGAAGGCCATGCATCTGCTTCCCCTTGGACAGGCAGGCTTTCAGTGCTAACAGGATGGCTTTGCCTGTGCCAGCCTGATCCAGAGAACTGCTTGTGGACAAGCTGGCCTCTCAGGGAGTATGGGGGAATTTTGTTCCTAACAGCCATGGTGCTTCTCCTTCAGGGGCTGAGCAGGCAGGACGCGGAGCTGTCTCCTTGTCTCTGATTCTGTTTGTTCTGTTTGATGAACTCCAATGAGGTTATTGAGGCTGCGGTGAGGTGAGCCTGACCTGTCTGGGGACTGGATCCTCTGGTCTGCCAGGTTTGCTTGGTATTGTCTGCTGGAGATTTCCATGGGGTGCTCTGCCTGTTTTAAGGAGAATCTCAGCTCTGTTCTGGAATCCTGGTGTGAGGGAAAGATGAGTGTGTGGAGGGACAGGGAGCAAAACTGAATTAAACCTACAGTCTTCAGAAACAAGCGTTATCATAATGACAATGGGATGTCATAATGAGTCCCTACAGCCATCATAATGTGGCATGTGGTTGCTACTAGGGCAGAGTGGTGTATCAGGAGCCTGCTCTTCACTGTCACTGTTGCTGTTGCACTGAGTCCTGGATTTAGGCCATCTAAAATTAGCCCCCAGCCCTAAACCTCAGTCATATACCTGAATCTTCCTACGGCTGCCTTAATGCTGCCTGCATGCAGGGTCATAACCCTCTTGGTTATAAAAAGAACACTGACTTGGGAAAGAGCTGTATCCATTTTCTATCTGTTCTCACATCCTGAAATACTCCTACCTGTCCTTTTGTGCATCCCTCCTTTTAACATTGTTACCTTTTACCGTGTAAATGAAGAAACTTCAGATCTGTGCAGGGTGGTGATGAGTAGCTCCCTGTACAGATGCAGCTGATGTTGAAAAGCAACCTGAGTAAAAATGTTAAAATTCCCCTAAATACTGAGATAATGTCTAGCACGTAGTTTTAAATAACAGGTAGTTCTTGATCCGCCATAGCGTTTCCAGTGACTCAGTGTCCCCCCCCCCCCACTCCCTTGCAGTAATTACAGAGGAGTATTGTAATTCCTGACTCAGAGGGAGGCTTCCTTTCAAGGTTTTTGCCTGTGCTGGAGTTCCAGCTCTGCAGCTGTATGGAAAAATTGTGGGGGACATCATGGTAGCAGATCCCAGGACTGCACCAACAATAATGTAGGACTGGCACATTTTTGAACTAGTGATAGGAAGCCATAAAATGGAGAGTTTGTTTTGGATTTGTGATCAGGAATTTGGTTGCCAGAATCTTGGCTATGACTCTTGTATCTCTTGAAACTGGGTACTTACAGCAAAGACATCCCAAGGTACAAATCTGGTGGCTTCTCTGACAGGCTAGGCTAAAAATCTTCAAAGTGAAAAAATTAGAAAGGAGTAAGTGTGCTCTGACCCAGATTTGTTGTGGTTGCACGACATTTGAAAGTAAAGTGTGTTCCTGCAGATTGTGGGAGCACAAGTCATGAAGCTTAGGGGACAGGTCTGGGGCTGGGGCTCACTGTGTATCAGATTATGAAATGGAAACTGTAGGGAAGGGTTCCATGTGCATTGACCACTTGAACTCCATGAGCCTCATTATTTCTCCTTCTATGGAGGAATTCAGCAGGTGCTGCAAGTCAGTAAGTCACATACACACTGACTATCTGCAGCTGGCCTGGCTGCTCTGGGAGCCACAGAATGGCAGCAGGGACATGCTGCCAAATGTGACCTGACAGCCCTGCCACAAGGACACTCAGGACTGCAGGGAAGGCCAGCAGAAGTGGACCAAAGGGCTTGAGTCTCCTGTTTATCTTGTGAGATGTCAAATCTGACAGGCACATGGATGGGTCTTGATCGGTTTTGTGTTCAGGCAACCTCCATTCGTGATGTAGATCTTTAGGTTTAGTGGAGGTGCACTCTTGGTGCCTCTGCAAGCAGCTGTGTACAGCTGGCCACCACGTCTCTGCTTGTAACAAGTAGGTGTGAAGGTCATCTTGCCACCACCTAAGTGTGTTCAGAAGCAGGTCTTTGAAAATTGGGTCAAGTTTCTTAGAGACAGGAATAGATTTTCCTGTGCCTTAAATGCTGCAGTGAACCCCACTGTCTATGTTGAGGCAAATAAAATCTGCAAATGTGCTTTGCATTGTTTCAGCTTAAGCTTGAGGATATTCTTTTTAATTCTTTTTTTCAGTGTTACTGTGAAGGTATGAGGGTCTTGAAATTTTTTATGATTATGGTGCAGTGTTTTCAAATGCTGAGGCCATAAAACATTACCTCTGAGCATGATATTTCCATTTTTTGCTCATCAAAGAATAGAAATTTCTTCCCTAACCACTGCTGTGACATGTGTGGTAAAAACATGGCTATTCTGAGCATCTTCCTGTCAAAGTGTTAGTGCACTTAGTTCTTGGTTCACAAACCTCGGTTAGATGCCTAGGAGCCCTATGAAATAAATAGAAGATCTGGATGACGGGGAGTGGGATGCACAAAAGCTACTGTCTGGCATCATCAAGGCAAAGCAGAAAAGAGGACTGCACATGAAATACTCTTACTCATTTGTATTTAAGCTTCAGCCCTGTATGAAGTAGGACATGCAGTCTGAAACCTTTTCCTGGGTTTAGATGCTTTCACTATCCATCTTGCAGTAGACTACCAGCTTGCTATCTCAGTGACAACTCATGGAGAAGGTGGAGTACATGGTACCCACCATTTACATTACAAACTGAATATTTGAGATGCTTGCCTGGAAAGTGAGAATCTGTTCTTGTCTTGCACTGCTCAGGGAAGCTCCTGAGCCATCAGATGAAATAGTGTGAGTAGAGACACTAACTGGAACTGTGTGGGTGCAACGAAGACTGAAGGATCTCGTAGGGATAGGAGGGGAATGACTCATTTGAAAAGGCAGAGTGATATATATCTATGTACATATGAATCAGTTAATTTTTTTAATTAACAGTTTATTTTCCCAAATCATGTCCCTGCTCCTAGGACTTCGGTGAGGGCTCTGACCAGTATACTGTTGCATGTAATATAGGTAATGCCCCATCTGTATGAGTTTTGGTTTGTGTTTGGTTTTTTCTTTAATTTGATGTTAAGCAGCCTGACTGCAATGCTTTGTGCCAGTAAGATGAATGTTCTCCGAGAACGCAGCCAAGTTCAGGTCTTTTGATGAGATAGGCTCTCAGTCACCTTTATAAATTTTGAGTGGCCTGAAGTGGGAGACTGGCCCTAAGATGTCAAGTGGTACATTTGGGTGTGGTGGTGCTTTTATGGGTTTTAGATGTAAATTCACAGGCCTATAGAAGTGACTACATGGCTTGTGTGATGTTTCAGCTATCAATTTCTCTTTTCAGGCTGAGTGGACTATTAATGACTGAATGGGCTCTGCTGGGAAGGCTTGTCCTCACACCATGACAGCTGATGTGTCAGAAGCTGGAGAGCTAGCTCTGGAGCCTCTACTCACTTGCAAGCTATGTCTCTGTGAATATTCCCTGGATAAGATGACCACTCTTCAGGAATGCAGCTGCATCTTTTGTACAGCGGTAAGATCTACAATGCCTTTACATTACAGAAGCAGGGTAATGGAAGATAGAACTGTGAAATGTGATTGCTTGTCTTGTACAAGAAGCATATGTTACCCATGCTGACAGAGGATGCTTTTCTAAAGAGCATGTGGTGTTAGTCTGTCTTGCCTTATTTAAAAGATTTCTCTGTCATTCTGGTTTTGAAAATTCATAACTCTAACAGATGGTCCCATAGCAAATAATAACAAATCCCAGTAATAAATGGGAAAAAAGATGCATTTTAAGACTGTTGGAGAACATACACAGTCTGTATGTAATCTCAGTATTTATTTTTTCTGAAGCAAAATCTTGAAACATCATAAGATAGAGGTGTTGTTTCCCTGTTATCATTTTCTGAGTTCTCAGAGACATTTAAAGTCTTCTACTTAACTTTTAAGGACAATCAAAAAACCTAAACAAAAATGAACCTTGGCCTATTGAACCTTTGCCTCTCTGCAGTCTGTGCTGCAGAGATGTTGCCCAGGTCATGCATTGCCTATGGTTGTAAGTAAAGACTTTCTGTCCTGCAAATTCAGATCAAATAAAGCTGGTGGAAATGATAAAGGGAGAGGTTGAGTGAACTGATAAGAGCCCTACAGATAGTAACAGTCTTCTGGTCTCTTTGTCAGCATGCAAAAATGGGTGTAGTTTCTCTGGTGATAGTGACTTTGATGTGGCTAACTAATGGATTTTGGAAACAGGTCAGAAGTCACTGGAGGATGTTGGTGTTGGTTTTGTGTTTTTTTTTTAACTCCCAAATAAATGTACCCGGCTTTATTTTTTTAACAATGAATTGTGGATAAGCATCAGTCAAGTATGTTTAAGTTTTATCCTTGGTTGTTTGAACTCATAGAAGAAATTTGATATTTGTGAAGCCATCTTGAGTGAAAATATCTTCACTTACGCTGAACTCAGGGTAGCTTAAATAGGATGACAATCTATTGTGTGCTTCAAGAAACTAGGGTAAGATTGATTAATATGCATTTCAACCTGATGTTCCTGAAGTTTGTTTCCCATACTGACTTCACAAAACAATTTTGTATTTTAGTTCGTAACAAAAATTTTAAGAGCACATACCTAAAAGATTAGGTAGGAAGATGCTGCTTTAAATTGAAAAAAAAATAAATGGAGAAGTTGATACTTCTACAGTGGTCCCATTCTTCTCTAAGAACTCAGTGTCTCTGATTTAGTATCATTAATGGCACATTAACTCAATGTTAGCTGCGTGGAGTAATCCTTCTGCCCTTGGAGAAAGGAGAGTTGCTGAGGCCTGTGCCAGGAAGAGCTGGCCTCTCTGCTCCTCCAGGACACTGGCCAAAGGGAGAGGTTGGTGATGGCTTGGAGTTGTTGCTGTCCCCACCTATTGTTCCCTGTCGGTGCCACAGCTTCCACCTCATCCACACATCCCTTACCTGGCCAGTAGCAAGAAGAGCATCTCCTGTGAGCTTGGCTCTCCAGTGCCATGACAGCGACGTGGAGACTGCAGTCACAGTTGTTTGCCATCTGTGCAAACTTCACTGACTTTGTCTAAACCAAGAGCCAGCCATGAGCGAGCGCCGAATGCAGCTGGGAGAAGCCTTTAGACATGCTCTATTTATTTCAGTGGGTGTAATATGTCTCAACTGTGCTTATGCTCCACGTCTACCCTTTGTCTGACTGTTGTTGTCTGTGTCTGAATGTCCTCCCGATGGACATGTCTGGGCTGATGAAATAGAGACGTGTAGAACTTGCATCCTGTAACAAGAGGGGTTCTGGAAACTTTTAACCTGGCTTTATGGCTTTCTGTCTTGAATCCAGAGCAGTTTCTGTGAGGCCATATGAGTTGCTTACTCGAGCAGCCTCCATAGAGCAGTGTCAGAAGCAGCTTGACACAAAGTGCCTCGGTGCTGGGGCTTGCATGGGAGATTGCTCGGGGCACAGCCTGCAGCAGCTACACTGGTGTGCCATGCCCAAAATTTCCTCCCACTCATGCCAGGGCATCTAGATACCTTCACACTACCCTTAAGACAGATGTTGGAGTAAGAGTGTCAGCTGTGAGCTATGGGATCAAGACCATATCTTTTTCGGCTAACAATGCTTTCAGCTTGTATAGCTTATTCTTATTTTCTGTCACTAAGGTTAATTTTATAGATCCAAGAGTAGTATTAAATTTGAAGTACAAAGGGGCTTGACATGGACATAATGGGTTCTGCTCCACTGAGATGAAACAATTAGTTTTGTTAAATTTTCATTCTGTTACATTTTTTTTTCTAACAATAACAATGATTCTGCAACTATGATTATTTTTCACTACAGCGTTTGTGGCTTTGGAAATAACTGGAAATTGTTACTATTTAGACATCTGCAGGGGGCGAGATTATATTTCCTTTTCATTTGTAGCCTGTAAAACCAAGGCAGTCAAATGAATTGGAATTTTGTACAGCTATGTTTTCAGCTCAGAAACTCTTGCAATAAACATTATACCATGTAAAAGCTGTGTTCTAGCCAAAGTTAGCAAATTGTGTTTAAGAAGGTGTATGTTTGCATTTTGGTGGAATGTTGCTAGTAAGACAGGAGTTTTTCAAATAGCTATAAACATTTTTACTCCCTCTGTTTAGAGCAGAGAAAGCAGATGATTTGCAGAACACACTTGCCATCTTGTCGAGGACCAAGAATTAGAATGGGAACGATTTCAGAAGTGGAAAAATATGTACAGCGATTGAATGGACTTTATGATGCAGACTTTACAGTTATTATGTATATACTTACTCATTGTATGTTTCCCCAGAATTTGTATTTCCTGGGCATGTCCCGGCTTGTTCTCTTCTCTGCTCCCCTGTTTCCCTGCTGATTGGCCAGAGAAGCTGCAGAGAGGAGATAGCCCTCATGTACCCTTCCCTTCCCTTCCCCGGTTCCTCCTGCTCTCCTCCCCCTTTTGCCCATGTCCCTATCCTGGTTTGTCCCCCTGCTTGTCTGTCTCATGCTCCGCCCCATATTCTGGCCCTTTCCTCTCCTGAGTTGATAAAAAACCGCGTGTACACTGGAATAAAGGATTTTACCTGCACCCCACTTTGTGTCCTGGACCCGTGCTGTGCCATGGCCCCATCCCTCCTTTGGACCATGGCACCATCTGACAGTGGTAGCCCAACCAGGTCTGAAGAGGCCTCAGCTTTGTATTTCTCAGCATTTTTTGCACTTGGCGTAGGACTCCATTGGAACGTGAGATAAAGCACACATTCACACATTCCAAGAATCTGGAAATGTCTATAGTGTACCGGATGACTTGATTTCATTGTGTTTGGATTTATATTAGTTTTGAATGAAAGGCTGGTCTCTGCAGAGGGTTGGGTAAGGATGTGAGGTATATTTTATCTGCAAAAGTTTTAGAGGACTGCACTTTACATTATTCAGTTCATTTCCTATACCTGTAAAACCTTTGCAGAGTGCCATGCTGTGGTGCACTCTCTTACATACCGATCTTCAGCAATATATGTATTGCTTAAGCTGCATGGTTTTATGCTACTTGCCCCATTCAAAAAAATGGAGGGGGTCTCATCTGTTCCTCATACTGCTTATCTCGTTTCTTGTCTTGCCACTCATCCTTGTATATTTGGGGGATGTCCTTCTTATCAGCAGTCCCTTGTGTTTACCTGGTGTAATTTTTTCTTCCTTGGATATGCAACTACACAGATTTTTACCCCTGTGGTGGTCACAGGGCTTATATACGTACCTAAAATAATTATACATTGTGTCTGGCTACATCATCACAATATTGCAGTATTTTGGTGCACTTATATCGAAAGCAAACTAATGATAATTACATCCTGATTGATCCACTTACAAAATAATATTTTGAATATTATACTTATTTCTAATCAGATTTCCTCCATGTTTGCTCTTCTTCCTTCCCCAGAGAGCTCTAGCAGTGCTCTTACCTCACTCAGATAAGACTCAGGAGCACTGTGGCGGGGTAGTGCCAAAAATGGATGGGCCATCCTCCCTGCTTTGCTTTTGAGTGTTGCCCAGATTTGGTGCTCATTAAACTGGCTGGAAAGTATACATCTTGGAGACTCCCACCTTTTCAAAACTTGGCTGAAACTGGGAAAATGTCAGGGAGAGACAATGAGCGGTGGGATCACATGTATCTCTCGTCCTCTTGCTGGAAGTGCCCTGGTGTCTAGCACAGCATAATTAACCCTTTGGAAGTGCTAGTGAGGAGTGCAGGACTGCAATAATATTGGAAATACCAAGGGCCCTGTGAGAGATTTTAGCAGGTGTGATAAGATTGCCCTGGTGGTAATGACCAAAGAGAACCAGTGCAGTGCTGTTATGAAGAAGGTGGTCTTAGGGGGTCAGTAAAAAAAAACTGATGTCAGCTTTTTCCCCACACATCTATTCTTTTTGGTTTTGTCTTTCCTATTTTTCCACTACTTCTAAGCCAGGTGAGCAATAAATGGCATTGCTGCTATTTATGTCAAGTAGCAGCTTACATCCATCTAACTTGTGTGTTATTTACTGGCACAGGGGTCGAGATGCTGAAGACAACATGTAACAAATTGAAAATAGAAGATGCTTTCAAGTATGTTATTCTGTTGTCAGCACAGGTTTATGCAGAACTAGCATGATTCACCCTTCTTTTTTTCCCAAGCAGATTCTTTGTTCAGTCTTGTGCTACTGAGAAATGTGTGAGGCAACTGGGTTACAAACATGCAAAACAAATACCATGATGATCCACCTGTTTGCTATTTTGGTGCACAAAATAAAGTCAAAATGAGATTAAACTTAATGTAGCCTTAAAAGCAGAAATCGGTGGGGAAGTCCAGGTAACTTCCGTGCTTTCTTATGCTTCTGTAAGTAGAAGATATTCTGAAGACATTTGGAGAAAAAAAATTCTGCTTGTAGCTATGTGTTACAGCAAGGCTAGGGCTAGACATGGACTGAAAAGGTTCTTTTTGCTGCTGTGGACATTCTGGTACCCTGGGCAGCTGCCTGCCTGGCAA